TAATTATCAATACAGATTTCAACACCTTCTGCAGTCCCCTGGTCTCTAGGATGAGAAGTGATTGTGAACTAGGATATCTGACAAAAAGCAACATGACTGGGCATTATCACTGGTGACGTGAAATTGAGTGATGACATTCCCTCTTTCCCCAAGTAATTAAAAGTGCACTACTCAGGAGCAGAGGAACAAGATGCATAATCTGCTGAAGAGGAACTGTGCTTAAGATCTCAAGAGAAACATTTAGACTTGGCTAAGTGAAACTTTCCAGTAAAATAATAACTATAGATAACTGCTTTGTCTGTCCACACAAAGATATTTCTACCCTTCATGTATCTGGCCTATTGGGGAGTCATAGATGCCAGAGATAAGGGAAGTTGGGAACAGGACTAGATATGGTATGTATACAGAACACTTCTTTCTGAAATAAAAATTCTGATGGAACATTCTCTCTAGAAGAATTAACCAGGTAAAGACTTTCTAAAAGTATTTGCTTACTGAACTGTAGTCAGCTCTTAGATACAGTTGCTGGACAGGTTTCCTGAAAATATTGTAAGCTATTTGACTTTGAAGATTTTCAAAAGTGAAAGTAGCAAGCACATTTCCTGGCAAATGATAAATGCTGAATAACTATTTGCTTAATAAATATTGGATGAACCCTATACATTCAAGACATAGTTCTAAGTGTTCCAGAGGATATAGAAGTACATAAGACTAAACTCCAGACTTCAAGAATTTTCTGGCCTTGTGGTAGAGTGGGGTGAAAAGGGGAGCAGAGGCATAAATAAAATAAGTTACTAACCAAAAAGCAGAAGTATGTGCTTTAATGGAAGTATAAATGGGGATAAAGGAGTTAGGACAACATTGTTGAGTTAAACACTAAAGTTTCCATGAAGAACTGAAAATTTGAGAGAGATCTTCATAAATAAGTAGGACTACTATGCAAAACAAATAAACAAAAAGATATTCCAAACTAAGGCAACAGAATGAGCAAAAGCTATTTGCTGAGGAAGAAAAAGTCAATTTGAATGGTATGGAGCTCAGTTTGGCTGGAGTTCTTGGCACATGAGAACACTGGAAGACAAAATTTTAAATGTTGATGGCACTCTATTTAAGGAAGCCATTGATTGCCAGACTATGTATTTTGTAATTTGTTGGACAAAAGGAAGCCATTAGTGATTTTTAAAGATCTCATTTAAAGGAAAAAGATAAAGGAAGACATAGATAAATTAAGTAATAAGCCCCTGAACTAAAGTAAAAACAATGCAATCTAAAGAATAATATGATTATGAAAAATAATGCAGTTGCAGAAAGTAGTAATAATTAAGAATGTTGGTTATTAAGCACTTATGTACTATACACTATGCTAAATAAATTATATACAGTGGCTCAATTCTCAGATTGAGTCTCTAAGTTAGGTACTATGATTAACAAGAAATTAAAGAATTGGAGAAGTTTAATGATACACCCAAAGTTGCACAGCTGTTAGTTAGAAGAGCAAGAATTTAAACTCAGGTAATTCTGACTCCTAAACATATGTTATTTCCCCCATAGTACACTATCTCCCCTTTAGGAACCAGTTTGGAAGTGGAAAATAAATAACAATGAGTCAGTGCCTCCCAGACTTTGAGGCAACCTGGGAAAACATGGATGAGCTTAACAGCAATGAAGAAGTCAGGAGTAAAAACTGGTTTGAAGTTTCGAGGGATGATGATTTTTGTATAAGATACATTGATGTTTATAGTCAAATGATTTTATTTACTGAAAGTAATTTATTGAACAAATACTGAGCACTCACTTGTGTTTTCCACAGTCCTTGGTGCTGTTTTAAGGCAAGTAAACAAAATATACAAGAATCCTTGTTCTCTTGGACTTTGCATTCTAGTAGGGAAAATATATGAAAACAAAATAAGTAATAATCAAAGAGTATGTTAGTTATGACTGGAAACGGGTAAAATAAATACTAAAGGGAGATAGGAAGTGTTAGAGGTGAGCTGCAGTTTTAAATAGGAAGATAAGGGAAAGAAAGCCTCATGAAAATGTTCCACTTGGGTAAAGATCTGAAGGAGGTAAGGAAGTAAAGCACATACATAACTAAGTTAAAGCATTTCAGGCACAGGAAACTGCCAACTCAAATGCCTTGAGATGAAACTGCTATTGGTCTGTTCACCTCACAGCAAGAATGTTAAAGTTGCTGGAGCAGAGTTCAAAGGGGAGAATCATAGAAGGTGAGGTCAGAAGAGTAACCAGGGGCCAGATTGTATAGGTGACACAGGCTGTTTATTGTAAGAACTTTATTTTTTCTCTGAGTGAGATGAAAATACATTAGCAGATTTTTTATCAAAGACACAACATGATCTCACAAGATATACCATATTTCATTTTATTTTAGCACATATATAATGTTTATTGCAGACATTATGCAACAGTCTATAATAGCACCTATAGGTCCTGTAATAGGACCTATCTTTATGTCCTCATCCAGGATCAATTCCCAGAAATAAGAGCTTCAAGAGCAAAAATCTGTCAACATTTTAAGATGGTAAGTATCATTAGACTGCTCTTTAGTCAACCTTGGAAACTAAAACATTCACTAGAAATGTATAAAATAGTGCATTTGTACACATCCTTGAAGGAAATGGATTTTGTATAAATAAGACCTATTTTAAATAAATGAAAATATTGCTTCATTTTCATAAGTTGAATTCTGAGATGATGACAAAATGTCCAAAAGGTGTTATATATTTGGGAAGAGAGCTAGTGCTCAGGATTGATATGTAGATTTAAAAGCTATTGACTGTGATAGGAAAGGTGAATGTTCATTAGAGGTTACTGGATATATATTTTTTAACTTCTGATTTCTAATCATTGACATTAGCAGGTGATGATTTCTATGTATGGGCTTCTCCAGTGGCTCAGTGAATAAAGAACCCACTTTTAATGCATTTGACACAGGAGATGAAAGTTCAACTCCTGTCTTGGGAAGATCCCCTGGAGAAGGGCATGGCAACCCTTTCTTTTTTTGCATATAAGGTTATCGTTACCATCTTTCTAAATTCCATATATATGTGTTAGTATACTGTAATGGTCTTTATCTTTCTAGCTTACTTCGCTCTGTATAACCACGCCAGTATTCTTGTCTGGAGAATCCCATGAACAGAGGGGCCTGATGTGATACAATCCATAGGGTTGCAGAGTTGGACACGATTAAGCATACATGTACATATGACTTTTATACATAAATAGTTAAAAGGAGGTTGAAAAACCAGGGTTTGTGAATTTTTTGTCTTCCACCTAATTTTGCCTGCCACATAATCAAAGTCACTACCTGTGAAAATATTTTGAAGATATATTTCAGTTTGGGGGCTAAACAATTTAATTTTAACCACTCTTTTAGCATCAACTTTTATTCTTATAGTCGTGCTTCTCTGTGTTTTATGTGTTTTATGACACCATCTATTTCCTTATATGAGAAATCTGAAGTATTTAACCTCATCAATCTGAATGCCTAGTTCATATCATTTATCAGGATGTTTAATTAAAGTACATACCATATCTTGAACAAAATGTGCTGTTCTACTTACCAGGCAATTGAGGCAAAATAATAATAATAATTCCTTCAGGGGATGAATCAAACCTATTTCAAGCCACATGGATTTGATAATCCAAAGCAGGATGTTTTATAATTCCCATTTCATTTTTGTTCTTCCCTCCTATCTTTATTTTTTTTAATTGAATTATTTTTTTTTCCGTTTATTTTCATTAGTTGGAGGCTAATTACTTTACAACACTGCAGTGGTTTTTATCATACATTGAAATGAATTAGCCATGGATTTACATGTATTCCCACGTCCTTCTGTATTTCAGCAGCCTTGAGGTAACTATTCAGGCCCTTAAGATAAAATTTGTTTTAGAACAAAGTTGTGGACCTAACTGGGTCAACTTTCTGTAAATTTTGAATCTTTGTGCTGGTGTTGTCTTGCATAATTGAAAAGTGTCTTAATAACATGTGTTAATGGAAGTATTTAAAGAGAGGCTAGTTGCCCACTTATTTTTAGATATGTGGGAAATATTTGAACCAAATCAGTGGGCCCTAAATGGTGGTTCAAGGACAATTGCTGGGTTGGCTATATCTTAATAGTATAGAGACCTTTTAAAAACACAAATTCAAGACCTTAAATACTGACTCAGAATTTCTGGAGGAGACACTGGGAAGTCTAAGGAAAGCTATATATTTATTTTTTAAAACTTCCCCAGGTGTGTCTGACAATCAGTGATGTTTGTGGTCTACATCAGTTCAGTTCAGTTCAGTCGCTCAGTCGTGTCCCACTCTTTGCGACCCCATGAATCACAGCACGCCAGACCTCCCTGCCCATCACCAACTCCCAGAGTTTACTCAAAGACATGCCCATCGAGTCGGTGATGCCATCCAGCCATCTCATCCTCTGTTGTCCCCTTCTCCTCCTGCCCCCAATCCCTCCCAGCATCAGGGTCTTTTCCAATNTCTTCACTTTCTGCCATAAGGGTGGTGTCATCTGCATATCTGAGGTTATTGATATTTCTCCCAGCAATCTTGATTCCAGCTTGTGCTTCTTCCAGCCCAGCATTTCTGTGGTCTACATCAGAGCCTCTCAAATGTTAACATGCCTAAGAATTGCTTGTGGTTCTTAAATTGCTGTTTGTTATGCAGCAGGTCCCAGGTGGGACTTGAGATTCTTCTGCATTTCTAATTAACTGAAGCAATGCTGATTCATGGATCATATTTTGAGTAATAAGGAGCTAGATTACCTCTCAGATTCCTTCTAGCTATAAAGTGCCTTATGGAACTTGTATCTATCACCCTTACTCATGTCAGAACTTTCCATTAACGGTAATAGATTTTTCTTACACATAAGCTTTTTTTGTTTTTGAAAAAACAGGAATTATTTTTTATTAGATATTTTTAAATTTATTATTTTTGCAAGACAATAATTGGCTTACTTTTTTTTTTTTGTCATTTGCAGTTCTGACTTTGTTTTCAACATATAACTGAGAAAGTTCCAGGAAGCTGACTCATCCAAGTCAATCATCTCTGAAGAGTTTTAGGCACACTGAGTACTAGAGGAAACCTTTCTTCTATGTGAGCCAAAAAAAGAGAAAAACAACCTGCCAAACACCAGTAAAGAGATGACTATCATCATATGGAAATTTGAAGAGCTTCTGTATAGCACATTCATGATCCAAATGGGAGAGGATCAACTGTCATGATGTCTCAGAAGGCCTTTTAACTGAGTAACAAGAAGGGGAAATTATAACAGCTTGTCATCTGCGCTTGCACATTAGACTTCCATGTAGTTAATGTAGACAAATTCAAAGCAAACATGCAGATAGTTCTTTGAAAAGCCCCCAAATCATGTATAGAAGCTCTGACCAATGCAATAAAAAGGAGGTTATTCTATATTCAGTTTCTCCAGCCCCTCGATGATCAATCTTTTAGAAAGAGCAGTAGTAGATTGTAAATTTAAATTTTTAACCACCATTTAACAAAGGCAGCTTCTCTAGAAACAAACATGACTGCTAATGACACGTGTACTGAGATCAGTAGAGACAATACAGATTTCCGATACTTCATCTATGCTGTGACATACGCTGTTATTCTTGTGCCAGGTCTCATAGGGAACATATTAGCCTTGTGGGTATTTTATGGCTATATGAAAGAAACCAAACGGGCTGTGATATTCATGATAAACCTGGCCATTGCTGACTTACTACAAGTCCTCTCCTTGCCCCTGAGGATCTTTTACTATCTGAATCATGACTGGCCATTCGGGTCTGGCCTCTGCATGTTTTGTTTCTACCTGAAGTATGTCAACATGTATGCAAGCATCTACTTCTTGGTCTGCATCAGTGTGCGAAGATTTTGGTTTCTCCTGTACCCCTTTCGCTTCCATGACTGCAAACAGAAGTATGACCTATATATCAGCATTTCTGGCTGGTTGATAATCTGTCTTGCCTGTCTGCTATTTCCTCTCCTCAGAAGCAATGATGACACCCCTAGCCACAGAACCAAATGCTTTGTGGATCTTCCTACCAGGAATGTCAATCTAGCTCAATCTGTTGTCATGATGACCATTGGCGAGTTGATTGGGTTTATCACTCCTCTTCTAATTGTCCTGTTTTGCACCTGGAAGACAGTTTTATCACTGCAAGATAAATATCCTGTTGCACAAGACCTTGGAGAGAAAAAGAAAGCCTTGAAGATGATTCTAACCTGTGCAGGAGTTTTCCTAATTTGCTTTGCACCTTATCATTTCAGTTTTCCTTTAGATTTCCTGGTCAAGTCCAATGAAATTAAAAGCTGCCTAGCCAGAAGGGTGATTCTAATATTTCATTCTGTTGCCTTGTGTCTTGCTAGTCTGAATTCCTGCCTTGACCCAATCATATACTATTTTACCACTGATGAGTTCAGAAGACGGCTTTCAAGACAAGATTTGCATGATAACATAAAACTACATGCAAAATCACTTGTGAGCAACCATACCACATCTATCTTGTCAAGTGAATTATGTTAAATTAAAAAAAATGGATGTGGACTGAAGTATATTAAAACATATTTGCAATACTCCAAGCTACTGGGAAGTAATCACAGCAAGCATTCCAAGATTTTCAGTTATGCTCTATCTTACCTATATGAAGATTTCACGTCTTCATAACACAATCTGTTTAGAGCATTATATTCCACTATCATTGATGTTGAGGTGTCCATGTAGTAATCTGTCATCAAGTCTTTAAGATTTAAGCTCTAAAATTTCAGTGACATACTATATGCACATGCTTTCAGCAGGAGTCAGTTTTATCTGTGAATCTAAGACATAGAGAGACTATTAGCTTGAACTTATTATAAGCACTTGGTTTTTTTTACAATGGACACTGAATTTGTTTATATTTAGAAACAATGTAGTTGTCTATTTATACTAGTAATCACAGTTTATATCCCAATATCATATTTTAGTTGTCTTTAATCAAGTAGGATAGACAATATACTATTTTGTGAAACAGTGTTATAAGCACAGACCTTTTTTATCTCCTATATGTGATTATACTCTTGAGTTTGAAGACTCAAATAGCTATTTCCTTCATTTAAGTATCAGCATGAAAAATCATCCATCACATCTATTAACAGAATGAAAATCTGAACTCAGGCCTCTGATATATTTAAAATAAAAACAAGAAACTAATTCACATACTCTCTATGACTGTATATTGACATATTTAATCTATCCAGGACAGGTAGCTTGTCAAAATTCATATAATGTGACCCACACTGTCATTAAAGGTCCAGGAAAAAGCAGATACATGATAATCACAGTTCTGATTCTCTTAAACTATTTCCAGACAGCACTTCTTATATCTTTCAAATAAAGAAAGTGTCTACTATGCTTCTAGAGTGACATTGAGGTACCTGAGAGGTTACTGCACTTTCTGAGCCTATACAAGAAACAATGCACTAAGTTTAAGCCAGAGCAAAAAGATACAAGTTATTTTTTACTTTGAAGTGGCAACTATCAGGCTACATTCACAAGCCAGAGTAAGGTCTAGAGGCAGACAGGCATGTAGACTCTAGAGTCCTCAGTAATTTTTTTGGTCCAGCTTTGCTGCAGCCTCTTCCAAGGCAGCTGGGAAAGCCAATTTTTGCCCTGTTGAGAAAAGTGCAGATTAATTTTGGTGACATTGGGCACCTATTAAAATGCCTTGCCTACTAATACCTGTTTAGAACTAGTACGCAAGAAACAGACCCAGAATATGAGTAGTGATTAAACCTGAGGTCTTAAATATTAGAATACTTTGAAAAATATTTTGGCAAACAGCTCTAACTTTTAAAACATGCTTTAATTAAAATCTGTACAGTATATAACACACAGATAATTTTGGCCTGGAAGGAACGTGAAAATCAAAGAAGAACTCCATCATATTTACAGGAAAGGAGTTATTTTAGACACACAGTTATGATATTAATATGTTTGGGGGGATTAGTGAAATAAAAGTGAATTCTAATATCTTAGATGAATGGAAAATTTTCTAATGTTTTCTCTAGACAAGTGTTTATTTGCTTGTACTTTGTTATTAAAATATTATCCTGTTAGAAGACTGACTTTGTACTGCTAGCAATAGTGTATCTATCTATCTCCTAATTGTTCATTGTAAGGTACCTATTTTGATGTACTAAATGAGCTATGAAAAAATGTTAAATTGTGTTTTAAAATGAGTAACTGTAACTATGTCTAGTCTATTTGCTTTAAAGTGATTTGTGTTTCATCATAATTTGGTTTTGTAATGGGATCAGAAGTAATAATTTTGTGGGTACTTGTAATGAGAAACTTGTCTATATATGTTTACTAGTTTCTATATTATTATGAACTACACTTTTAGGGTCATTTGTGGGAGACCTCTGATTTAATTTCATTTATGTATTAATTTCACTTTAAACATACCTGTTATCTTAAAGAGGAAAAAAATATTTCCAGGAGATTACTGAAGTTCTTAGAGGAAATGTTGAGGTTAGAGCCCATTTATGAAGCAGTCCAGGAGTCCTTGAAAATTATTCATATCATTTGAGAAAAGTACAGAGAGAACAAGTGTCCAGTATTCTTATGCTGCTTAGCTAAGAACCATCCCTTCTCTTTAGGTTTGCCCATCTAAGTTTGTGTTCAATGCTGTGATTTACTTTATTAACCCCCTTTCGCCATGAATATGCTTTGCCTTCTATTCCCTTGTTCTCGTCAGTAATTGATCAGTCTATTCACACTAAGGTACTAAGGACTAATGTAAGATTAATATTAATTTGCCTAGGAATATCTGAATTATAGGCCTTAGGGATGAATTTTATCTCAAAGTGTAAATATTTTGTTTCAATGGAGTGATCAAAAACACCAAAACAGACTAGAAAGAACAATATTTTGAAGAAAGTGGGTCTTACAACAGTGCCTTTCAGATTACATATGGTAACTAAACACCTACTTTGCTTACCATGATGGGGTATTTATTATACTAGTACCTGGCCTATACTAAGTTTAAGCCAGAGCAAACAGATACAAGTTATTTTTTACTTTTAAGTGGCAACTATCAGGCTACATTTACAAGCCAGAGTAAGGTTTAGAGGCAGCCAGGCATGTGGACTCTAGAGTCCTCAGTAATTTTTCTGGTCCAGCTTTGCTCCAGGCATACTATTCTAAGGCCAGTACAGCCTTCCCCAAGGCAGCTGGGACTGATTGGAGTGATTTCCATGTTATTATTATTCTCATTATTGCTATTATTATTATATTCAAATGATGTATACATTTTCATTGTCACTTGGTTAAGCAACCAATTCTATTAACCTGCAATTCCATGAAAAGGAACCATCTGCCCTATGGACAACAGAACAAACTATGTTGGTCTAAAAGGATGCATAAGTGGAACTCTTGTGCAACTTCATTTTTATGTCATCTTTTTGTTTTTATTCCCAATACACTGTGAAAATGTTGCTTTGTAATGTATTTATATTTATAATTTATAATACACATTTTCATAATAAAGATGATCTTTGTATTTGCATAAAAAATTCTGTCTCCAGAATTCCATGTATATATAGCCAGTCTTTCAGCAAACTGATGTAATTGAGAATCTTTGTCAGTGTTCTCACCTACATGGATATTAAGTTCTCTGAGGCTCTACTCTCCCTTTCTCTCTGGAGTGTTGCATGCTATTCTCAAATGGAAAGATAAACCACTTCCCCAACCTACCTTATACGTGCCCTCCACTCTTCCCATAAACAGAATCATTACTATCCACACTCTGCTAAGATTATTCCTCATTCTCACTTGTTGACCAAGTTATTCTAATGACTTAATACTTGTACCTGTTAGAGGATAGTCTTTTGGGAAGAAAAGGAGATGAGGGGAAAGAAGGAATGTTTTCTATTTAGTCTTAAGAATTTTTAAGACCAAATATTTTGATTTTCCTTATGTTTAGCAGAGGAAAAGCTATCATTCACTGTATCCTTCTGCTCTTACCAAAACATATTTCCATAAACATAATGAAATAAAACAAAAAGTGAAGTCAGGACAATTTTCTCTGGCTCTCCTCTCATCCTAGTTATCTTTCTTCCACTTTAGCAACTCTCTTATCTCACTATATTCTTAGTGCTTTCAGGAGGTCCAAGTGTCTTCTGAAATAACAAAGTTGTTGCAAATTACACATTTTGACTGCTGCAAAAAAAAAAAAATTTCCTAGAAAGTAGTAAAGGATTTCCTAAGAAGAAATTTCTGATGTTTTGGTAGACTTCAAGAACATAATAGGATTTAAATATAGGATTTGTCCACACTTTAAATGTCCTCAAATAAAGTGCATTCCTCCTATATGCCTTCCTGAAGCGAATTCAGAAGTGATCCCACTGCCTTCACTGTACCATATTTGAAGGGGAAAAAATAAAAGATGAATTCTCAAGTAAGTGTGGCTCTTTCAGCTTATTTATTTCTCAACAATGAAAGGATATGATGTGTGTTTGAGGGGTGGGAGGTGAACTGTAACTTTCTTGAACACAGACCATTTATTCAGCAGTACTTCCTCACTCTTAACCACTTACTTGATTTTTCCAAGACCATATTTCCTCTACTTTTTGTTGGCTAGGTTCTCTTCATCTAACTCCTTACTGAAAATTTTCTTATTCATCTATGGGCATAGCCCTTATTTAAGGGCTTAAATTTGCCTTCTTGGATATCTTTAAGAAATATTAGAGCAACTGCTCCTTCATGGGGGTGGGCTGTAATTAGGCCTATCACTCTCACCCCAGTATCTTCCTCTCAATTTTGCTTCTGAAGCTCCTGCAAAAAAGAAGATACTGGAGTATCAGCAGAAACTCTAAGGTCAGGAGTGAGTGGAATGATATATCCAAAATGTTGAAAGATAGAAATTACCAACCAAGAAAACTTTATCTGGCAATGGTATCTTTCAGATAAGAGGAAGAAATAAATGTTTCCCTGGACAGTCAATTGCTGAGGGAGTTCACCATCACTAGACATGCCTTGCAAGAAATGTTGAAAATTCTTCAAGCTGAAATGAAAAGACACTAATCAGTGGTGGGAAAACCTGTGAAAGTACATGACACACTGGTAAAGATGAAAGTCAGATTCAGAAAATCATAACTCTAAAAGAAAAAGAAAATCATAACTCTATATTAGAATGTTGTATCAACTGCTCAATTATAGTAAAAAAAGGAAGAGAGTAGAAAAAATAACTATAGCTACAATAAATTGTATTATAAGCAAATACATGGCATAAAAAGAAGTAAACTGTAACATCAATTATATGAAAAAGAAGAGTAAAAGGGTGGAGCTTTTATAGGCATCCAAATATAAGTTTCTATTAACTGAAAATGGACTACTCAGAAACCTAGAATAGATCTACAAAAGACAAAGAAAGGGGAAACAAAGAATACCACCATGGAAACTAACCAACTTATGAAAGTATGTAGAGACAGTGAGAAAACAGAACAATGGAAATACAAAATAGTCAGAAAGTTATTAATAAGATGTTATAAATATGTCCTTACTTAACAATAATTAGTATAAATATAAATGGATTGTACTTATCAAACAAAAGGCACATAGTGACTGGATGGATTTAAAAAAGAAAAACAAGACCCAACTATATACTACCTGAAAGAGGCCTACTTCAAATTTAAGAATATACATAAACTTGAAGTGAAGAGATAAAAAAAGATATGAAAGTGGAAGCCAAAA